GGAGGGGGCTGGGGGGCTTGGTGGGCTCCAGGAGGGGATGTGGGGATGGTTTGGGGGCCTGGGGGTCTTCATATGCCCTTGGGGGAGACGTGGGGATGGTTTTAGGGGATGTGGGGATGGTTTTGAGAGGCTGAGGGAGGGGTTTGGGGACCTTGAGGGGGACGTGGGGAGCTTAGGAGGGACAGGATGGTGACATGGGGGAATAGGGATGTGATGTGATGGGATGGGATAGGATGGGATGGGAATAGGAATGAGAACAGGGACAGGGCAGGATGGGATCCATGGGATAGGAGGGGATGAGATGGGATGGATGTATGGGAGTAGGAATGGGATGGGATGGGATCCATGTGTAGGATGGGCTGAGATGGGACAGGACAGGATCGGAACACAGATGGGAATAGGGATGGGAACAGGGATGAGACGGGACGGGATGGGATCCATGGGATGGGATGGGATGAGATGGAAGGGGATGGGATGGTGCCCCCCCCACCCCTCCCAGGTACCGCTACACCCTGGACGAGCTGCCGGCCATGCTGCACAAGCTCAAGGTGCGCGCCGAGTCCTTCGACACCTGGGCCAACAAGGTGCGCATCGCCCTCGAGGTGGAGGACGGCCGCAAGCGCAGTGAGTGGGGGTCCTGGGGGGGTTCCAGGGGGGTCTGGGGGCTCTGAGCCCCGCCCTGACCCCCCGGCTGTGCCCGGCCAGCGCTGGAGGAGCTGCGGGCGCTGGAGTCGGAGGCGCGGGAGCGCAAGTTCCCCGAGAATGAGCTGCTGCACCGCCTCAAGGGCTGCCTGGGCCAGGCCGAGCGCTGCGTGTCCGAGGCACTGGGGCTCATCAGCTCCCAGGAGACTGGGTGAGTGTCCCCAAGGTGTCCCCCAGTGTGTCCCCAGCTTGTCCTCTGCGTCCCTGGCCTGCCCCTAGCCTGTCCCTGGCCTATGTCTCTGACGTGCTGGGGCTCATCAGCTCCCAGAAGTGTCCCCAAGGTGTCCCTATTTGCCCCCGGTGTGTCCCCAGCCTGTCCCCAGCATATCCCCAGCCTTTCCCCGGTGTGTCCTCAGCCTGTCCTTAGCCTGTCCCCAGCCTTTCCCCGGTCTGTCCCCACCCTGTCCCCAGCAGTGTCCCGTGTCCCTGCAGGGTCCCTGCACCAGCGCTGACAGTGGAGGAGCTACGGGCATTCCTGGAGCAGATGAACCAACTGCCCTGCGTCATGCACCAGATCGGGGACGTCCAGGTGGGACCCGTGTCCCTGTGTGTCCTTGTGTGTCCCCGGTGTC